ATATTTCGCTCACATGTGCATAATTTACGTATTTACATACTTTATGTATTTTTATTGTATATTTCACGTCGTTTTCTAATTTAAATTTATGATTAGTTTTTTCTAATATAATGATAAATAGGATTTCAAAGATATCTTTTCTCGATCAAAAATATGCTACAACATATTTTATATTTTTAGAAAAAGAATTAATTAGATAAATGAATCCCACACGCCGCGATGCATTGCGCAGTAATATCAGAAAAATCACAAGAAAAAGATTTCGCGCTTTTACGTTCAATCTTCTATATTTCTGTGTCATACAATAAATAACATCAAAGACTCTCTCTCTCTCTCTTTCTCTCTCTCTCTCTCTCTCTCTCTCTCTCTCTCTCTCGTCACTATAATAAATAATATGTATTTGTTTAATTTTATGTCCCATAAGACTAATTAAATTTTTTTTTAATGTAAACAAATTTTATCAAATTTACTTTACTTTGTTATTATAAGTAAAAAACTTAATTAATAATTTGAAAATTTGTGCGATAAAAAATAATTTTTAAAAATAATTTTAAAATATATTCCTTTCTTTAGAACATTTTTTTCACAGAGCATATTTTAGGCGCTTAAAAAGAGATTTTTACAGCATAATTTTGGGATATGTACCTTTTTTTAGAGCATTTTTTTAATTTCACAGAGCATATTTTGGACGCTTAAAAAGGGATTTTTAGAATAATTTTGGTTGCCTTAATGATGATTAATACAATTATATTAATATGTTTAAAATCAGGATTGGGTAAGTTAACTTTTTTTTTTAACTAAGTTCAGTTAAAATTAATAACCTTGAAAATTTAAAAACTTAATTAAGATACAGTTAATTTATAATGAAATTAATTGAATTAAAAGTTAAGTTAATAAAAAAAAATAATTGAAAAGTTAAAAGTTAAATTTGCTTTTTTTAATTTTTTAAATTCATAATTCCAGGATTTCAGTGTCTTACAAATAACGAAAATGACAAATATATACTTCATTTAGAAAATACTCTATATTTTATTTATATGTTTTGTTTATATATACTGTTTAGTATATAAGATTCGATTATGAATACTGGTCTGTGATATGACTAAAGCTTTAGACGCAATACGAAGAAGTAGTGATAGTAATAAGGAATAATAGATTTCAACCTGTCAAAAATTAGATACATCGAAATACACGGTTTCTGACAGATTGAAATCTGGAGGTCGAGGTGTAATTTGAAATGAAGTGAAAATTACAAAAGTGAGCAAATTCACTAGAATATTTATAATTTCAACACCTAGTAAATTTGCTCACTTAAATCTTATTGTACAATTTTCAACTCATTTTAAGTTATCGCTATTGCCGCGTATTATGTCTGACACTTTTGCTGTCAGCAAATGTATAACAATATATGCAATGCATTAGTTTGCTACAACATATTTACTATATCATGCTTAGCTATTTGGGATGATATTGTGGAAACTGCAAGTGTGATTTTTTAAATAAAGTGATTATGTATAAATGCTTATGCGTATATAATATGATTAATTAATCAAAATAGTTGGCGATATAATTACCATTTTGAGAATTACTTTAAGTTTATTTTAATAAGGTGTAATCTATAAATAGACCACAAAACTCTTAATAAATTTTAAGTACTTCAGAAATGATATTTAAATATATGTTATTTGATATTTAACCCTTAAATACCACCACAGTGAGAAATGACAATAAAATCAATGTCGAATCGACGTCGATTCGATTCCATTATTATTTCTCACTGGGACGAGAACCCAAAAGATCCCAAGGCTTTTGCAATCGTATATATGTTTTACAGGGTTGGGTAGTAACTAGTTAAAACGTTAAAAGTTAAAAAAAAAGTTAAAAAGTTAATAACTTTTAACTTAATTTAGTTTAATTTTAAATATATTAAATTTTAACTTAACTTAAGTTACTTAACTTAAGTTACTTTTAAACATTAACTTTTAAATTTTTTTTTAAGTTAAAATTCTTTTTATCTCTTTTAAATATTTTAGAAAAATAATAAGATATAATAAGACTAAAAGCGTATATTCGTAATCTGTTCATATTTTAAGACCATCTTAAGTAATTTCTTAAGATGCTAATACAGCCCTCTGATTAATTTTTAAAGGCGGTTATGCCTTATGCCATAAGTCTTAGTCCGGATCTACGGTAATAAGTGTTTTAAGTCATAGTGCCTTAAGTCATAAAAAATTGATCAATTGCAGTCAAATATTCTTTTCGCATTCGATTATAATTAGTTAATTTCTTATGGCTCAAGACTTATTAAAAAATAATCACTGATCTTGTATATTTTTTATGTGCTAGCTGTTTTTTTAAAATTATATAACTTATATAGTTATATCGTTATGTACTTATATACTTATATCACATGAATAAAAAAATTAAAAATTTAATTTATTTAATAATCTATTGTAGTTATTTAATCTCATTTTAAGAAAAATTAGGACATTATGATCTAAAAAATAATTTTTTTCAAAATTAACTTCTTTTTAACTTAAATTAATTCAATATTGATTTACGTTAAGTTAATTTTTTATTCATATGTCTTCAACTTAACTTTATTAATTTTGTAAAGTCATTAACTTTATTTAGTTAAAAAAAAACAACTTATCTAATCCTGATATTTTATAATGCTGTAAATCGAACTTCTGGCTTTATCTACCGTTAATTTAGATCCCTAACTACCAGTCGAAAAGTTCGCGGCAAGTCAGTCTCTGTATAACAACCGAGCAAAAATGATGCATTTCAAGGCGGAATACAAAATATCCCAGTGTGTCATTTACATTGTGTAAAGTGAAAATCGAAGCAATTTTTTTATTCACGTTTTTGTGTAAATTTCACCATTTTGAATTGTAAATGTTACTGGGCGTGCTGTAAAATTTTTTTAATGTTATAATTATAACTTTTTTACGAATAATTAAATAAAGTATAATTTGTAGGGATGCATCGGATCGTAAAATTATCGGATGTCGAATATCTGGACAGAATGTAACATCGGATATCTGATATCCGCTCGGATATCTGAGAAGGCGATTTCTTCGAGTTGAATATCCAACATTTTCGACCGGATTCGGAGAAAGCTTTCAAAAAAAAAAAAATCCTTTAGAGAAAAAGATTGTAATTTTGCAACAATGTATAACATATAATATTATAGCATCGTAAATATGCATACTTGTTTCTAGAAGATTTCTGTATATAAGAAAGTAAAAAATCAACAATTTAATATGATATCAAATTTAACTGGATATATTCCCGGATATTAATGATATCCGGCTATCCGTTTAGATGGTAAAAAAATGTCGGATAATATCAGATATCGAACATCCCTAATAATTTGTTTTCGTGCCACAGGCCGGTGCGATAAGCACCTTATTTATTTTTGCGTCGAATGTTCTAGGTTAGAATAAAATCAATGTTTATAAGTTTTTGTACTTTTTGTATATTTAATATATTTAATATTTTTACATGCTTCTTAATTATGTGTCCAAAAATACTTTTTTACCAAATATATTAGGTCAAATAAATTGTTAATTGTATTTTTTCTTTCTCTAAAATTTCCTCATTCATTTTGCAAAATAAATACCTTTTTTAGAATATCCAGTATCGAACTTAGTTTTATTTAAACAAATACTATTTCAGTACAATCCTAAATTTTTAACAAAAAATTAGAAAAAATATATGATTTATTTGTTTAAAAAGAGTATACTTCTTAAATTTTAACTAACTTTTTTTTAGTATATTTACAGTAAAATTTCACCACAACTGCAATTACATCTTTTTTTGAAAGCTCTCTTTGAAGTGTATCCAAACAAATTTTCAAAGCAAAATATTGAAAACTCTAGGAATACTATACACTTTTTCACGCTGGGGTCGAATTAACCCTATGTGACATTTAAAGATTAAACAATATTAAAATTGATATGATTATGTCAATATAATAAATTTAAATACTATTTAAATATCAATCAAATATATATTTAAATATCATTTTTATAGTATTAGAAATAGCTGAAATCTCTTTGGTAATATTTCAAAAAGATTGCAGATTCCTTCTATGACAACCTTTCAACAAGGTTTCATGTGCAAGATATTTTGTTATTTCAGAGCTGTCTTAGAAATGTTGCAACATATTTTGCAATTTTTATGAAATATTTTACTTTTCAGTTGAAATATTTCTGTAATATTTCTGAAAACTTTCGATGCTATGTATGAGTTGATTATTCAAATATAGCAGAGCTATATGAGTTTGGTATTATGAGATTTACACTGGGATTTACACTGTTTTTCTTAAGTAAAACTATTCTATCATCTTAAGTAAAACTATTTTATCAATGTTTCTTAAAAATTGATGAGTACTTTACTGATAGTTTTATAACAAAAAAAAGTTTTATAACAAAAGTAGTGCTTATATGTATTATATGTATAATAAAATGCGTAATTCCATTCTTTTGTTTGAAATTTTTTTATGAAACATATTTTTCAAGATATTCAGGAGTACTTTTTATATACCCTGTATTACTGTATATCTTGAAAACGTGTAAAAATGATTATCAAAGTAACGAATAGCAAAAAAATAAAACCAGCAGTCTGTCTCTTTTTCTTTCTATCACACGCAATATCGACATGCAATGTAGATAACGTATAATATATACTTTATCTATTTATGTCAAGAGATTTGATTACAAGTTCATGATGTACTGTCAAATACTATTGTGACAAAGTGCCATTTATAAAATAAATGTTATGAGACAAAGAATGTCGGAAATTATATCAATATTTATTACACACTTTTTATCCTTAATTAAAACTGTCAGTGTATCCATCTAAAAAATTGATTTAGCGAAACTTTTTTCGCATTTATTGTAATCATTTTCGTATGTATATTTTTGCTTATACCAGCATTTTTAATCATAAATTCAAGCTGTCAAATAACAAGAGAGATACTAGTTGGGCTGGCAATGAAAAGGAAGGGTGATTTTGGAGATAAAGCCGATGAAAGTAGGATTGATGTCGATAAACCACTTTGGAACCAGGACACGTACCTCGGAAGATGGATGCATTACAACTTCATCACCGATTGCCGCACGATACTCGTACCAAAGAACAAATTGTGGGAAGCAAAAAAACTCTGCGAAGACTATAAGTAAGTTTATATAGCTTTTCTCTCCTTCTTTTTCTGAATTAGATTCTTTATCAACTTAATTAGTAAAATTTTCAATTTTGAGAAAATCATTTATTGTAAAAAAGATTATTAAAAAACTCCGAATGTAAAAAATTATTAACATATAAATAATTACATATAAATAATTATAAACAGTTATCAATCAATTTTTAAAAAATTAATATTTACTCTTATTTATTAATGCCTGAGGTAATCAAACGCATAATATTATTTTATTCTATTATTCAGGGCCAGAAAAGAGCCAGAGGGCCTACAGAGAAAAGACATAATCTATGCAAAGAAGCTCAGGGACAGCGCCTTTCATCCCGATAATGGCGAGTTCATGCATGTGATAGGAAGAATGTCCTTCCAGCTGCCTGCTTCTGTCGCCCTCACCACCGCTATGTTGACCTTCTACAAGTTAACTTTATACAAATAATAATGCATCCCACATTCACAAATTCCCGATCAATTCTTATTTGATTTTCTATTTTTATCATCCACTATATTTCGATTAGATCCGCCTTCAGTGTGATAACATGCCAGCTAGTTAATCAGGGTTTCAACGCGTTTGTCAATTATACCAATCGAAACGCGATGAGTGATGATCCTCAGGATACCGACATTATCCAGCAAGCGTTTATACTCGCCACTGCAGCAAGTTGCGCGGCTGCTTTGGGATTTAGGAAACTATTTGCCGGCAGAGGAACTCTCTTTGCAGTTAATTCATTTTAAATTTGATTTTTTGTTCCATCTTTTCCCGATTCTTATTTCATTTAAATATAGATAAATACATTCAAAAGACGTTATTGATAAATTATTTTAATCGTCCTAGATTCAAAATAACTACTACTGATAAAACTTTGTAATGTCAAAAATCTAATATAATTCGTGACCTCAAGAACATCGAATATTCCATACAATTGTTAAGAATTTGAATGTTTTTATTTTAAATATCAAAAATATAATTATATTCCAAAAATGAAAAAAGTCAATCTTTCTCATAGAGATTCGTTCCGTTTTGTGCGGTTGCTGTCGGCAATATGATAAATCTCCCCATCATGAGGCAACGAGAGATCACGCGGGGTATTCCAATATTCGCCAAGAACGGTGAAGAAGTATACATCATGAAGACACAAGTAGCCGCCGTCAAGGGTATTTCTGAATGCATCCTCACAAGGATAATAATGGCCGCGCCCGGAATGCTGATGGTTCCAGTCATTACGCAACGAATGCAATCGTATAGGTTCTACAAACTTCGTCCATGGATCACTGTTCCCGTAGAAATAGGTTTATGCATACTCTGGTAATTTTCAGAGATGATATTGCGCAAATCCGCACAATATAATAAAATATTGATTAATTATCTTCGACGCGAAAGTATTTTAATAAATATTTTCTCTTTTCTTCAGTTTGTTAGTCATGATCCCTTCGGCACTCGCCATTTTTCCGCAGAAAAAGTAAGATTTAAATTAATTCTGAATATCTTTGAACATCAAAAAATTAATTTTTTTTAAGTCAGAAATATAGTATATTAAGTGTAGTATATTAACAAGCTTTTTCTATTAAGTTCGATGAAGCCAGAACTATTAAAAATATACCCGGAGGAGTATAAAATATTTCGAGAGAAAATGGGTCAGCGCAAACATCCGGATAAAGTTTATTATAATAAAGGATTGTAGTCCATATAAATAAATATAAAAATTTATATTCTATTTTATAAAATAAATATACATATATATGTTATTAGATTTTCCATGGGATCTATAAAGTTTTTGTATTATCGAAAAATCAAATTAAAAAATGATTAAAGCTATAGAGACAAAATAATAGCTATTCAATTATTGAATAACATTTATTGACACAACATTGTCATCATATTACTATGTTTTTCAATAACAGTAGTAAAGTTTTTTTATCATATCACTATATATGGCAGCATTTTTACTTTCGACAGGCTTCTCGAAATTTAATAACATTAATAACATTAAGTAATATTTTAGTGCATAAGTAACGTTACATTTAAAATGTACGAAACTTATAAGTAACATTAAGACGCCTGAGAGGAACAATTAAGCGCTTATTGAAATAAAATTATTGCTACAATTTGTGATTATAGACATCGATAAAGCACCAATTTATATTGTCGATATTTCATTCTTAAAGGCCATGGCACATAAAAAAAGCAAATCGGCTAATCACAGTAAAAAATATAAGGCAGTAGTAAATTTAAAATATTGTTTACTGCTTACATTTTGCTGCTTAAATTTTTTTTGTGTACCATAGCTTTTACTATTACATTTTTACTATTGTTTCTATTACATCGCGCGAGCTATCAACTTCTCTCTTATTATAATACTTCAATGCGTTGATGGAATTTTATTTTATCACCTCGTGGATATATTACGTTTTGTGACTAAATCCTAATTTAAAGTTGACTAAATATTAATTTAAATTATTAATATCGGTGCGACGATCAAAATTTAATACTTTAAAATCATAAGAAAGAACTGTGCGTAAATGTATAAATAATAAATTCAATAGTAAATATAAAATATTTCTGCTATAATAATTGACTATAATTAAATGAGTTATATTACAGTTTCGGATTCATTTCTGATCTAGCAGAAGAGTTTACCTCGTCATTGTGCCATTTAAAACAATATTTATAAAGGATGGAATAATACTTATTTTATATCAGTTTCATAAAATTAGAATTTTTCATAACATTATAATCCCTTGTTGAAATATAAATACGTCGGTAGTTTACTACCTTCACAATTCTTCATTAGTAGCTCATAGTTTTCCGGCTCCCAGCGTTGTAAAGTAGTTGCCTTAATGGAGCTTAATGGACGCGGGATAAAATAAAATGTTAAAAATAAAATATTGAAAAAAGAATTTTCGAATGTATAAAGTATCAAACAAATTGTTTACCAATTTTGTGGAAATAGCGCACACGCTGTCGGCACCATAAACGTCAATCTAAGATGTTTAACACAAATTTCACATAGTAATTATTTAATGACAATGATAAATGATAAGCAAAAATAAGATAAAAAAAGAATGTGGTACTCACGAAATTCCGCACATCATAATTTGTATTGGTGCATGCAGTGGTTTAATTCTCTGCATCCACGCGTATTTTTCCAATTTTTCCATTATGGGCGGTAAGATAACTGCGGAAATTATCGTTTTAATTACTTAAGTTTATTATTATATAACGAATAAATTTATATAAAATTTTAATAAGTAATTTAAATTGAGATGTTTGATTGATACATACGCATGCCGGGTGCGCACATGACGATTCTCGAAATGACAACTTGACTGATGCCTTTCACAGCTGCGAGCTAAAATCGTTTAATAACATTTAAAAATTTTCAATATGTTAAATTTAATGAGATTTGGAATTTCGAAATTTAATATTATCTTATCTTGCAAACTTATGTTTGACGAAATTAATTATATGCATGCATATAATATTAATTATATGCATGCATAAATAAATTTGCATATGTTTTTTGTGTAAAATTGAGTAAATTTTACATACAAAATTTAATAACCAGCGACAAGTAATGTATACCTTCGATTTTGTAAGTTTTCTGCCGTTCTCGTCAATGAGATCCACGCCGTTTACAATTTCGTTCTGTCTCATTAGAGGGATATTAGCGCAATTAGCGGCTGCCACTGCGGCGAACGGAACGTACCTCTAAAATATGTTTTTTTCTTGTATTCAGCAATCTAGGCTTTAGCAATCTCAAACACGTTTTGTTTTAAATTATATACAAAATAATCTAAAAATCAAAGTTTCAAAAAGGTTGATTTTACAGGTTAATCAATTACTTGAAATTTCAATGATTTTACAGATTAATCAACTACTTAAAAAGAAAGAATCATTAGTCATTGGTGTAAAATAGTCTGGGATATTCTATGTAATTTTCAAATTGCTCTCACAAAACTTACAGTCATTAGAGGACTAGCGTGCTTCTCCCAATATGATTTACATCCTATCGCAGTTATCATCGCTGCAACGGTCGCACTAACATAAGCTACACCTAGCTGATTAGTCGTTACAGGACTGTTAGCATTCCTATTGGTGTAATTGACGAGCGCGTTAAAGGACTGGTTGACCCATTGCCAAAAAACTACTGCTTGAGTTGTCCTAGATCGAATTAACATAGTCAGAAAAGAATAACTTAATTTAGACTGTGATAAATTTTTTAAATAAAATCACGGGAATTCAATTAACAACAATCTCATGTGTTATTAAAATTAATAAGTTATAAAATTAAAATTAAATAGATAAAGTGAATACTTATTTTTCTTGACTGTTAAAAACTGTTTTGGTTTTTTCAAAATATCAATATGATTAAATGAAAGAATTTTCAATGATCATCGATCGAAATTACTGTAAAATACCTGTAGAACTGAAGCATAGCGCCGGTGATGGCCATTCCGCCTGGTACCTGGAAGGACATTCTACCAAAGACATTCTGCAGATCGCCAGTATCCGGATGAAAGGCAGACTCGTACAGTTTCTTCGCATAGATAATTTGCTCTGTGGTAGTATTGACTGGCTCTTTGCCAATTCTATAAGGTACAAAGTGCGAAGCTTATCAAACAACTAATTGAGAATACAATGCGTCAAATGCAGCAACTCATAAGTATAGTCTCATTTTCATTCTCAATAATAAATTTTAATTCAATGAAAAAATTACGTTGGACTTATCTTGAAAATTTTGGATAATTTAAGAATTAGTAGAAATAAGTATATCACAGAAATATTTAATGTATTAGGTATAGTAAAAACAAATCCATTATTTTTCCATTCAATTTCATGCAAAAAAAATAGATTTCTTTTTACTACACCTAATATTATCAAAAGTGCTAAAAATTTTCTAACAGTGCGCGTCGAATCGACTAAAATAAAAAAAAATTTCGTGACGTATAAGTATTTCCTATTACCTATATTGTTCACACAACTTTTTAGCAGCTATCAGCTCTGATTCTGGTTTGACGCAGGTGCGGAAGTCGGTCATCCACGCGAAGTATTTCCATCTTCCCACGAAGGTGTTTTGATTCCATAGCGGTTTGTCTAAGTCCAATCTTTCATTCATCATCATGTCCAATTAAGAGATGTTTCCAGCACAGATCTCTAATCAAGATTATATATTCGTAAAATAATGAATTATAAATTTAGAAAATTGATTTTATAAATTAAAACATATTACAATTAATATCTTTCTTTTTAATATATTTTCATACTATTATTTATAAATTGAAAAACTTTGATTTATACACGCGATAAAGAATATACAGAGAGTCCCAAAGGTAATATTTTAAGATAAGATATACGTACTGCAAGTGTTATACAAATGCTCACTGGACGATGGATGTTCTGCGCGATCGTATGTTTCGCATACGATCAACTGTGCTTCCTTTCATAATGTTACAAGAGATCCGACAAAATGAGAATATATTTATAGTTTCAGAACGCGAGCTATGTGCGTGAAAATAGTGCGCTGTGGTCAAGCATTTTTAATTTATACAAAGCAATTTTCGCAAAGCAATTTCTTGTTATCGAAATATTACGTAATATTTTTTCACGAGTAAAATAAGCATAATAGATAACAAACACAGTGCCATCTATTATGAGTTATAGAACAAAAGATTAGTATTTATTATTATTATTATATATATTGTACGTAAAGCAAATTATTTTTAAAAATTCAGTGAAAAAAGAATTGTATCATTAAATAATGTAAATTAAAAATTAAAACAATTTTTTAAATTAAAATCTTTTACTATTCAATATAATTTTAAAAAGTCAATTTAAAATAAGATTTCCTGTTTTATTTTCTTTTATATTCTTCTTCGTCAACTCTTGTCTAAAATTAAATATACTATTTAAACATATTTAGTTTTGCTTTGGGTTTAAAAAAATACGTCACTCATATTTTTTCGAATTTATATTTCTATGTATTACAAAATTTATAAATTTTTAAATTTTTAAAGATAATTTTTTATAATAGAGCATCTTTTTTATTTTAGCATATTATATCAAAATTTGGCGCTTTTCTTTTATAGCTAGAGGAAAATTAAATTTAATATTTTTCTAATAACTCTTTTCAATTCACATTACAAATGCAAGTCTAAAACTATGGAAGCTTATGTTTACGCGAATATTTATGTGTCCGTAATAAGCAAATATATTATGCAAGAAATAATATAAAGGAACATTTCGCGAAAGTTCGAATGATGTTGAATCATTTGCAACATCATGATGGAATTGATAAATAAGCGTCATTGCGTATTATCAGTGTTGTACCATTCACATGTCACCGCTAATCATTTGAATGCAAACCGTAATTGTGCAATACGTATCACACATTCAAAGAGCCCTAGAATACATTTTTTATTAATAAAATTATCGAGTAAAATATAGCGTACTAGAAAAAATTGTAACAATTAATTAAGGGGATTCTGGAGTCTCCTGTATTATCGATAAAACTAGCGTTTTTGACATTTTTGTTCTTGTTGAATTTCTTCGTAATTTCATAGAATAAAAATTTCTTTTCCACAATTAAAATGTATATGCTAATGTATTTGCTGATGTTTTTTGTGTTCAAAGCTGGAAGAAATAAAAAAATTACAGATTTCTTAATTTATCCATTTTACCTTTAGCGTTAGTCACCATACTGAGATAAAAATAGATTTAAAAATCTATATTTTTTTTTCCAGCTTTGAACACGAAATATACCAGCGACAAGTATATTAATATATACATTTTAATTGTGGAAAAGGAATTTTTATTTTGTGAAACTACTACAAAGAAATTTGACAGAAACAAAAATGTCAGAAACATTAGTTTTATCGGTAATATAGGAGGCTTCAACATTCTCTTAAATAAAAGCTTGCTTTTATTATTTCTATTGTCGTTAATCAATTTAATTTAAACAAAAAAAATTGAACAAATTAATTTGGTTCAATTGATAAATTATTAATTTTTTTATTACAATTATAATCCTTCGTCGGCAATGTGAAATGTTCACTCTTCGTCCGCAATCTTTATCCACGAGTATACCATATTCGATCTTTAATACAAATTTTTATACAAAAATTTTTTAAAATCTGAAAAAATTTATATATATATATTTATCTTTAACGAATGCACAAGTTTTAACAAAGAATTTTTATTATTTCACAGAAATTATTTTACTTATTTTTTTATAGATTTAATTTTATTTATTAAAATTCGCAATTGAAAATCGACTGCATTTTTAAGTCCATTTCTGGTGAAGCTTGTTAAAAAGTTTTAATTTACACGTTTTTATAGATTTTTTCCTAATCATTTCTCTCTCTCTCTCTCTCTCTCTCTCTCTCTCTCTCTCTCTCTCTCTCTCTCTCTCTCTCTCTTTCTCCCTTCTCTCTCATTTTTCTTCATTATCCTTTTTTTTATTGAAATGTCAATACGAATTGTAACCGGATTTTTTATCGTTTCATTATCTATTCAATGTAAATTAACTACTTAAATTACTTGTCGATGAGAACGTGTGAACATAGCTTAACAAGCATCAACATATGCACTTCTCACATTATCATTATTTCTCTCATGTGTCGCTTTATTTATCTCTTCCAGCACTTGTCACAATATATATCGACTCTGCGCTTTCAGAAAAGTTGCGGTCGAAGTGACGACCCAGTTTTTCGATAGGATGCACCAGTAATCACAATTCATCAACCGGTTGTTTTTTACATTAAATGTCAATAACATAGGCATGGAGAAAGAGATTTACGCCGCTATTAGGATCGCAAATTGGACCGGTAAGAATTTGCCCTCGCTGCACTCGCGTCACCTTGAATAATAACTTATGCAACATTTTATCAAAGCATAAATCCTAGTCACTCACCCTGTCGTAAAAACACACGTTACTTCTGGAACTGTGCTCGGCCGTTCTCGGCCGCTCTATCTCAATGCCGGCAAGTGCCGAACCGAGAAGAGTTTGCGGCGAACGCCAGCAAACGCCGAATCCAAAAGGAGCTATACCGCATGCAATAATCGCACGACAAGACTTCTTATTACGCTACTGATACCAACGAACGCGCCCTTCATGGAAAAGTTGTACCAGGTTGCGTTCGTAGCGCTTACAACATTGTAACAATTTCAATACAATCTAATCCCACATCATTGCCTGTCATTTTAATTATATAAATAATCGAAGACTAGAAAATCAGAGATTTATGAATGGGAAAGTACAACCACAGATATGGAATTTACGCTCGTATTTTCGTATTAATTTGCACAAATTTATTTCTCTGAAAATTTGACATCGGTTGGCAGCATTGTTCATCAGCTAGAAACTGCAAAAAATGAATGTTCCGTAGGGCCCTTTGATGAAAGATACGGACCTGGTAGGTCGCCCCAGCAAGCGCAAGCGCACCAGGGGCGGCGGCGCGGCGCAGCCACAGCCAGCTGTGTGGGCTGCCAGGTTAAACGTCCCCTCTACCTGGCAACCAACTTTTACCCCCACCTGCCCCCTGGCCGTGAAGCTTTACCGCCCGCTTCACCACGCTTCACGCGGTCTTCGCACACAGCTGCAGCCGTCGTTCCTCACGTCATCCGGTTCAGACAGACTGCGAGCGAGCGAGCGAGTAAGAAAGAAAAAGAAAGAGAGAGAAAGAAACAAGGGGCGGTGCGTCGCGGCGCGGAGCGGCGCGGTGCACGAGACGACGACGGCGACGACAACGATACGAGACGAGCCGCTCGCTCCTCTCCGGTCGGCTCGGTCGTAGCGGAGCGAAGCGGAAAGCGCAAAGCCCACACCACACCACATACCACCAGCTTACTTGCACGCTCGCTCGCAATAACTTTAAACTCGAGGCAAGATGGCGGCCGCGGCGGCGGAGACCCCGTCCGCGCACCTCGCGCTCGCCACGGGCGACAAGATCCTCGTGACCGTCGAATCCGCGCTGCCCGACATCCTCGTGGTATCTTTCGTCCATGGCGCCAAGTGCTTCCAAGGTGCGCTGCTCGACGCCACTAAAAGGTAAGAATAAGGGAGAGAAAGAAAGAGAGTGAGAGAGAGAGAGAGAGAGAGAGAAAGAGATAAAAAGAGCGAGAGACAGAAAGAAAGAGCGAGAGAGAGAGAAGGAAAGAGAGAAAGAGTGAGAAAGAGCGATATGAAGGAAAGACCTCGTGTTGTGACCTATTCTTTTTTTTCTATTTTATTCCGCTTACTGAGAGCCTTTTGTTCTCTCATCGAAACAGTGTTCAACCCCTGACCACCCTTCGGCTTTTAAAGAAAAAAATCTGGAAAAAAATCCTATTTATGGGTTCCACTAGTTAAACCAAAGATTTCCAATGGCTAGCATCCAAAACAGCTTGGGATTAGGTGATTCATCCATTTGGTCCTTTGAAGGTTTTGCAAGAAAATGATCATGATGTTTATGCTTCTATTTTATCACACTAACAATAAGTGTTGACAATTAAATTTGCTCAATCATTGCTCTTTAGAAGTTTTTCGTCTTGCCTTTCTGAAACCTGAAAACGTATGTCTTCGAAAATGAATCAGTTCTATAATAACTGTATAGGTACTTTAGAGATTGGTAGATTTGAAATTGGTTAAATAGTAATTAAGAGGTATTTTAGTTGCTATCTGTGAACAGAATGACGAATATATAATGGAATGTTCAACAGAAAAGTTGATGACTAAGTCCACTTACAGTTTGTTAAGATATGTGATGCATAAAAAAAAATACAATAAGATTGGAATCATGAATTCAAAAACGAATCATCGGAAAATTTTGACTTTCAAAATCTTTCCATCGCCGCAAGTTCGTACTTTGGAACAAAGTGTCAATTGTTTCTTAAACCGGATATTAATGACTAGACTCTTTTGTGCCACTCTGTGATTATTTCTTTCAATATTGCATAAGCGTCTCGATATTTTAGAAGAGTTTTAAAAATTTGATAATATAAATTCTTGTATACTAGTAGATTCACATCATTTTTTCAAATTATAATATTATAATAATTTTGAGAAAAATTCATTGTTCAAGAAACAAACACTAACGATATTCTTTCGCGGGTTTGATTTTTTTTATTTTGTTATAATGAAGATTCTAATGGAACAAACGACACGAAAGATTTGAAACTCTCAGATTTTTCGAATATCCAAACGTTTAAAGATATCTAAACCTCATAAATTGTACAGCTGCAAAAATTCTTTACAATGACTTTCATTTTCAAATTTGAGTATTCTGGTATTCTAGAATTGTCACACAAACTAAGATTAAAGTGTAAGAAAATAAGAATTAGGATAAAAAGCAAAATGATTTATCGATGTAATAATAATTGATACAGATGATTGATGTTCCATTGCTACAAAAAATCCGGTTATCAGATATAACTTTCAGTTTTTGACGTAATCATTGGGATACAAGGATGTGATATTTTCAATTTCATAAAAGTTTATATTCAGATATTCTGGAACAGACGCAATGTTTCCAATGTGGGCAGCGTCAGGATTCCAAGGAGTCTTGTTACATAATCGATCTAAAATTGGGCGGTTATACAAAAATATCATCAACTTTTTTGCATTCTTGAAATGTAAGGATTTTTCTTTCAAGTCTAACTATGAAACGTTTCAAATCGTAAATTGAGAGGAAAATTTACTTTTTTGCAGCATAAGTATGTTTCTAAAAAAGTGGAGTAACACCAACTTTTCAAAAAATTTTATTTTAACGAAACGTCGATTTATTATTTAGAAATAATCGGACTGGTGCAAAAGATATATTAATTATCTTTAAAACTTTAGGTTTTTTTTTAAAAAAGAGGCTTTCCCCTAATTCTTAGTTTGTTTTTGGAATTAATACCTCATTATGGCTCTTTCACTTTTAATTTTTTTAAACGTCGAAGCTGAAATGCAGATCGGAAGATTTGAGAATTTTAAAATTCAAATATAAAGTATTAGAGGAATAATATTAAGATTCAAGATATTTTAATTATTACGATCCACAGGATTAAGTTGCTGGGAAGAAGTTGTGGAAGTGCCATCCGACGGCGCGCGATGCCCGTCGGCTTCCACGATAGTGAACGAACTTACGTGCGAACTTGGCACGAAATATCTCATTTCCTCCGAGACGTAAATAGGTCCCGAAAGCTCCGATAATTTTGATAATTGATCTGTACTTTAAGGTAAACGTAATAGAAACGTAATATAACGAAGGTAATAGGAAACGTATGCGCGCGTGGATGTCTCCTCCTGGCGCCAGCCGCAATGGGCGTGGAAGTCGTGAATTTCCTCAAATTTCACATGACTCGACTGTCGCTAAGTCGTCATATAAATGAGACATCCTCTACTACATGTTTTTTCTGCACTTATATATATGCGTATAATTACTCAATATCCCACGAGTCGCATGCTTTCTCTCCTAACGGATTCAAATCGTGATGGAATTCTTTTCGACAATAACTGAAAAGAAGTTGATTACTGAAATTCTTTTCATGCGATAATGTTAATAAATAACGAGCAGTGGAATTTTCAATAAATTTCGATTAAATAAGAAGCTGACTTCGAAAAATAGGTGGATAAACATAACAAAAGTTTTGCTTCACCCAGTATATGCTAAAAAGAATTTACTGTGACTCATGATCTCGCATAGTAAACGCACCTTTGTAATATAGTCGTTGCTGACTTCTCTGAGCATAGAGCAGTCATTTCGATTATTGGGAAATCAACTAAGTAGCTATTATACCACTTGACCACTGTTGTTCCACTCATACGAGTTAATCCGCGAACTTATGAAAAGCGAGCTCCTATATATAGTCACGCCAATAACGCGTGGGAAATATACTTAAATTGAATTTACTTAAATATTATAACTACCAAGTTTGTCGAATGCAATTAATCAACTTAATAAATTTCATTATTAAAGTTTTATCATAATGCTGTTAAGGTTTATTGAACTTGATTATATATTATTACAACATGAATTTAAATTTTATCGAATCAATTAAATTCACTGAATGTTATAATTAAAATGGATATTAAACCGATTTGTTGAAAAACTATTACTTGGCGGGTAAACTCATTTTCATTCGACGTTACGTAATTATCCAATTTGTTGAATTTTATCTCGAGAATCGAAGTATAATTTCGATGATTTTGTAATCGTGCTGATCCCGATCGACGTCAATCATCCCGGACTTTTCGTTTGAGCGTACCCTATTTATCCGAATAGCAATTTTGCTCTTGCAATTGCTAGTTTTGTACATTCAAGCAGTTGTCGTTTTTCTCAGCGCATTTTTCTCAGAGGGCAACCGGGGTTAGCTGCCCCGTGAGTTCAGAACCGAGCTCATTGCTGTGGCCGAACAGCTGTTGCCCGTTTTCTTACCCCGCACCCTAAGTTTTCTTGTTCAAGCCGAGCGGCCAATGGCCGCCCCGTGTCGCAATTGCACAACCATATCTAGCAGGGCTGTAAGTAAAATTGAAGGGGTCGTTTAAAGTTTGACTGATCACCGATACGTCCTAATTTAATTGCGTCGAAAAATTAATAATTTCAAAGTATCCAATGATTATTCTTATTACGTCGCTTATTTATTTTTCATTTGTTAATTTTTATACATTTATTGCGGTAAATGATATGATCCATTTTGGTGTTCAATTGATAATACATAAGATAGCAATTAGCTAGTATTTATTATATTTTTTATTTATAAATGATTTTTTTCACTTCAGTTATATTGTAATATATGTGAAAATGTACAGTTTTGTCAAGTTCGGCTAGATAAGAAAAGATAAGAAAAGTAATCAAGAGAGTAAAGTTTCTGTTTACGGCCCTGAAAGCTAGTCGGGGCCACCGACCAACCAGGCCTGGCTTGTGTCACGTTGTGCACGACGGTATGGTGCGGTAGAGGTTCCCATATTTTTCCGCTATATGTATTATAATTCGATACTCTTCTGAATTTGTTTTTTTAAATTGGTAATAGAGGTATTTTTAAAGAATTTATCAAAGATATTGATGAAATATTCA